GGAGTTCATGGGACTGTGATGAATCCTATAATGGGCCACCTAGGGTCAGATTTTCCCAAGATGTAGTCAGATAATGACCCGTATCAGAATCCCCTGAGATGCTGGTTAGAACATGCGTGTTCCTAAAACGGAGTGAAAATGTATTAAATCAGAATCATCAGGAATGAATGCCAGGAATCTGCATGTTTAATAAACATCCTGGACAATCTTCACTCACAGTAAACTTTTAGAAGCATTGTTAGGGACCCAGCTACTCCAATCCCTGAACTAATCTCATTATTTCCAAAACTACTCAAACTACTTTATTTTTAACTGATCTCTACAGGAAAATACTATGTTTTACCAGGTAATACATTTGTGACCTATTCTTAACTAGACTCTAGCTGCAGTTAGATAACTTGGTTCATCTAACATCTTATTTTCCTGAGTGTTACCAAAACCAATTACTTTGGTATATTTTTATGTCAGCTCTTATTTATGAAGTTTTTGCTTTTAAAAAGTAACATGCCATTTAGACAGCTTTCTTTGGAACAACTTTTATGCTAAAGTTACAGCAATAAAAAAACGACAATTAAGTTCTCGTCTGAGAGTGCAGACCTACCAAGAGCTTAGTTTTCTTGTTTTTATTAACACCAAATACCATTACCTTCTAAATAACACCCATTCTACTACAAAAAGTGGTATTTATAAATTACTTTAAATGAAAAATTTAACCAGATGGAGGAACAGAGAAAATACACTGAAACAGGACTCCTCAGATTTTTTTCTGTTGAACTACCCTAGTGGCAGAGGAGAGTAAACACATATCCCCTGAAATCTGGGATCATAGTCTGAAAGTGGGGAATTTCTTTGAAGTTTTGTGTTTTACCATAAAATTAGTGCAAATTTTTTTATTCCTCAATGTACCTTATCTATATGAGAAGATCATGTGCTTTCCTCTTCAAATTTTCCAGTAAACTTTATTCAGACTTTATACACTTCAGGCATGCTTCTTACATGCCAGCTTAAGAAGCCTGACTTTAAATCCTGTATTTTCCTGTGTGTGTATGCTGTAGACTGAATGTTTGTGTCCTCCCAAAATTCGTATGTTGAAATCCTAATCTCCAGCGTAGATGAATGGGTCAAGAGGGCAGAGTCCTCATGAATGGGATTGATGCCTTTATAAGAGATCCCAGAGAACTCCCTTGCCCCTTGTACCACGTGAAGACACACAGAGAAGGCACCAGGAAGCAGCCCTCAAGCCTGCCACCACCTTGATCTTGGACTTGCCAGCCTCCAGAACTGTGAGAAATAAAGTTCCAATGTTTGTAAGCCACCCAGCCTATGGTATTCTGTTCTAGCAGCACAAACAGACTAAAACAATGTTCATTTTAAAATATGATTTCTCTATACAACTCATCCTTGCCTATTTACCAGTATATTTATTTCCAGCCAAAGTCTGGCCTGAACAATACTCCAATACTCATGGTCACCACTCACGGTGGTCTTAGTTGATTAAGTGCAGTTGGGAAGGCTCAGCTATCTTTACTCTCCATTGTAGCCCCAGCTCTGAGAACAGAGCCAGATGCATGGCTGGTGCTCAGTAAATACTTTCTGATGGATGAAAAAAACAGTAAATGAGTCACCAATTCACATGTCTACACCATTTGAGTGCTGGCTGACACTCATCCTAAGCCTGGCATGATTCAGAGCCTTTGTTGTAAGAGGACCTAGAAACATACGTTAACGATGGCATAATTCAACGTCCCATCTATTTCATTCGTAGCGTGGAGTTGTCTCACATTACATTTGCTCAAGCGGCTCAGTTGGGAATCTGAACATTTCTCCTGCAGATCAGCCATATTCTGCATGTAGTTCATGAATTTCTACCAAAATTGGCCTCTTGTAAACACCAGATCTCTGTCAATGCTTGATGCAGAATGACTGCTGATAATCCTTTCACTAGTGATGCTTCTAGTGAAACTGGAAAGCACTTGATGGATTCTTGTGAGTCCTTCTGTCATGAATATTGCTTGTTAATATAAAAGAAGACGGCTGATAGAGTTTAGCTGTAAGTGCTTCCATACGGGCTAAACACTTCCCGGTCACTCATTCAACATTCATTCTCTTGCCAAGTCCTCGGGGAGAGACTCTGGATGAAGATGACATACGATCGTTACCCTCCAGGTGTTTGCAGTCTAGTTGGCGATCCCACCTGAACAAGAAAACTGAGATGCTTGGAGAACACACTCCATGCACACGTCATAACAGAACGGGGCCTCCCAGCACTGTCCAGATATTTTGAGTCTGGGCCCATTTGCTTTTCCTGACCTCTGGTGCCAAAGACGTCCCTCCTGCACTCTTGTCCTCACCCGATGATACTCCCTTGCCTCTCTAGATTCTCTCTTCTTTTTTTGTACATCAGCTAGCTCTTTCCCATCTCCCCCGTCTTTTCTAGACTACTACACTCTCTTAATTCATTTTTATTTTTCAGAAAAAAATATCTGCAATCTGTTTGGTATGAGGGAAACAGATTGGATGCAAGGAACTGTGCAAAGCAAGATGTCAGGAAGCGGGGCCCTGAGGTACTTTGGGGTCACAGTAATAATAGTAACGAACAGTTACTGAGTGCTGAGGCTGGGCCAGGTCCTCTTCTGAGTATTCCGCGTGGATTCGTTCATGTGATTCTTCAAAGGAACACGAGATGGGCTTTATTGTTATGCCAATGTTACAGTTGAGGAAACTGAGGCATGGAGAAGTTGGTGACTCAGTAGCCTCCGGGCAGAGGCAGCCCCACGCTTACTGGACGTGAAGCTCCAGCCTCCCTTTGCCTCCTGTCCGTATGCACGTGAATCACCTCCCAGCCCCCCACAGACCACCTCCTGTGGATGCAATGCCTCCGTGAGTGGATCTTCACAGCACCCGCAGAATGCTGGAGTCAGCGTGCACCTTTCACAGATGAGAAAAATTAGGCTAACGGCAGTTAGGAAAGTTCTCTACGATCACAGAGCCAACAGGTAGAAAATTCCAGATTTCAGCTCAGGTCTATCTGACAACAGAGCCTGTGATCTCGAGTACTCTGGGATTGATGTGTGTGTGTGCACATGCATGTGCGTGTGAGTGTGTGTGTATGTGCGTATATTTGCACATGCATGTTTGTAATTATAGAACCGTGCTACAAGCGAATGCAGTTTCCGGCCGTCCATAATCTGTGGCCTGCACAGTACATGACTGAGGCTGCATCGTGATTGCTAATCACAGCTTTAATACTTCCTGCAAGTCAACCATCTGTAGGGATTGCCGAACTGCAAAGGTTTAATCCATTAAGGATAAAAAAAAGTCAGCCCATGTCTCTTCTCAAACGTTCAGGTTGATTTTGATGGGATTGTGGTTCTTAGAAAGTAGGTAGAGAGCAGTAGCTTTTCATATTATTTCAAAATAGCACAAGTTCTAACATTAAGGCTTTAAAAAAAAATTAACGATCTGGTAAAACAATTAACTTTTTCAAATTTCTTTGTTTTAGTCACAACATAAATTATCATTGTAAAAACTTTTAGTTTTTTGAAAATTAAAAAAATAAATTATAAAAACATTGTTATATATTATACTGTTAGGAAAATGAACTCCCTGGAGTTTTTAATGGCTCTGGCAGCTTTGTGGCTTGTCTGTCTTCATACGAAATCTCTCTTCCGCCCTCTCCATGTTTCTGCTTAGAGAATGAGAGTTTCCAGGTGCAAAGCAACCCAATTTTCCTAAGAGAGGTACTGTGAGACTAGCTGTCAGGAGGTATTAGAATAGAAGGGTCTTTTCATGCCACCTTGACAGCTCAGACAACAGCCAAGGGCCACCTTGCAAGCAGACCTTTCTAAAGACAGCGGTCTCAGGCCTGCGGTGTCAACTCTTCTGCACAGTGGTCATAGCTCCCTCAGCCCCTGGCCAAGAGTTGGGCCTGTGAGACCCCCAAGAAAGGTCAGTTCACCACACTTGACCCTTCCAGTGAGGCAGAGTGGTTCCCAAGGAAGAGGACAGACTCACTCCCTCCCACGCAGGCCTAGACGAAGCACGCCCTGGTTTGGGGAAACACCGAAGGCCGTGCCTCATTCAACAGCATGCCCCCATTACACACATGCCACACACAGACATTCCACATGCCACACACATGCCACACACAGACATTCCACATGCCACACATACACCACACACTGCACTGCACACACATTACACACACACACACACCACACCACACCACGCACATCACAAACATACACCACAGCACACACATTACATATACAGCACATACCACACATACACCACACATACACACCAAACACACACACACCACACACAGACATGCCACATGCCACACATCCACCACACACCACACCAAGCACATCATACACACCACAGAACCCACATTACACACATACACACCAAACACACACTCACACACCCCACCACTGTACACGCGCCCACTTTATACATTATCATAAAAATTAAAAGCAGAGAAAACATCATTTTAACCTTGTGGAATACTGGTTTTAAATTATTAAGAAAGGTAACTGCCATAACAAAACAATAATTTTTATAGTCATTCAATCATACTCAGGACTTCAGATGAAGATGATCTTTTGCACATTTCAGCAGACAAAATCAGGGGTCTGATAAAGGAGATATTTGAATACGTAAGTTCAATGACACACTTATTTCATGTATCTATGGAACGTGGACTAGATAAAGGTCATGGATGGTGTCCACTCCCCAATGAAAAGCAGAGAATATAACTCTTTATTCTCTTATAAACTGAGGAAACACATTCTTGTGTTACATCTACAGAGAACCACCTACTGAAATAATGTCAGGCCTGAAAACCGACCTATGCCACATCAGTAAAGGGTATTTTGGTGACTTACAGGCAAACCACAAAATAAGCAAGCACGGAGATGAGAAGAATAATATGGTAGGACATATAGTGACAGAAGGTAAAGTCATGGGAGCTGATATTATTGTTTCCTCTTCTCCAGGCAGAGCACCGAGTCCTCCACCTGCCCAGGCTCATACAACCGTCCCTGCAGTCGTGTGGGCTGGCTGCTCTTCTATCCCCTTTCCCAGATGGTGGAACCGCAGCTGGAGGGGTTGGCCCTCGCCCCATACCATGTCACTGAGTGGAATTGGAGCCCATGTTTCTGACGCTGGGAGCAAAACCTAAAACTACTAAACCTAAGCCAAGTGCCCTTCCGGAAAAGTGTAAGTCACAAACCAAGCACATAAAAGGTTTCCCTACTCCTATATCTTCCCAATAAATGGATGAAGCATTTAGTTGCGGCAGATATCTGAGTTTTGGGGTGGCAGATTTTTTTTGATGACATGTCACTCAAAAACATCCCCCAGCTATTGTCCACTTGAGAGTCTCTACTTGAATACCAACTGGAGTTATTTTTGAGCAGGGAAAGGCTTTAGGGGATGACTCAGTCCTGTAATTACAGGTCAACATAGCCAAGACACCCTTCTCCACAGATTTCCACTGTTTCTCTATTGCTACTACATGGGTACCCACACCATCAAGGGGCCAAGACTCTGGACCACCTGCAACTCTCCAGCTGTGTCTTGGTCCAAGAAGCTCATCCAAGTGCCTGTGGGCAGCTGGTCCTCTGCTTGGACACACCCAGCAGGGGCTGCTGGAAGGACCCATCAGCCACCTGTCAATCACTCCCTCCCCTGGCTATGCTCCCAAAGGGCCTCTTGTGTTGTCCTGGGCTTACGTCTAAACATCCTGATTAAGATTTGTCCAACTGTCCCGAGGCTGTTTAGAGAAATTCACGAGCAAAGGCAGAACAAGATCTTGTTCAGAAGGTGTTTGTTGTCCCCTCTCAGCTTGGCTCTGCCTCAGCTTGCCTTAGGACCCAGCAGCCTCTGCTCCGGCTCTCTAGGCCTCAGTGAGATGCAGAGAGGATGGCCCCGCCAGTGCCCACATCCCTGGTGACTCCTGGGCAAGTGCCATTGGGATTCCCAGGCAAGGGGTCTAGGAAGTTACTCTTCATTGGATGGGATGACCCTCATTTGTATCCACTTAGCCATCTGCAGTTTTACAAATGAAGTCACGGGTCCAAAGGCTGGTCTCACCTTCCCTTCTGTCAGACTGTCCATCCTGGCCGAGGAGTCAATTTTCCCTTTGAGCCAGAAGGTCTTCCTGTCCATCTCCTGGTACACTGGGTCTTCCTAGGTGATTCTCGCTGAGCACTACAGGTGATGTTTCGTGGGTTCTGTCTTCATCACCATCCTGGGCTTTATGTTTGGGAAAAGCACACGATCTTCTCTGCCACCCTGCTAGGATGTTTCGTGGGTTCTGTCTTCATCACCATCCTGGGCTTTATGTTTGGGCAAAGCACATGTTCTTCTCTGCCACCCTGCTAGACAACTTGCAGTGGACTTTGTGCATTGTCATGAACTATAATGTTCTGGTTAGTGAATAACTTCCAATTTTATAATTTTCACACCCAACAAACTATATTCAAAATAGTCATTCTACAGCACTCTTAAACTGGAGATGTTATTACAGGGTACTGTGGGTTAAAAGTAAGTTGGAAGTGAGGGCTTCCGATGGGCGAGAGTTGTCTCCAACCCCTCCCACCACACCTGGCTTGAAGACCAGGGTCTGACGGTGACCGGCAACACATGGCTCCCCTCCTTCCCCACAACCCATCAGTGATGCTGCAGGGGGCTCCCACCACCTGTGGGCCTGCATGACATCATCAAGCTCATCCCCAGCCAAGTGCAGAGAAACAGGCTTGTTTCCTCCTGCAGCTGGAGNCCCATGTTCACAGCAGCATTGTTTACAATAGCTAAAATGTAGAAGCAGCCTAGGTGTCCATGGACAAATGAGTGGACAAGGAAAATGTAATGTATTCCTATAATGGAGTATTATTCGGCCTTAAAAAGGAAGGAAACCCTGGCACATGCTTCAGCATGGATGAACCGTAAGGACGTCATGCAAAGTGAAATAAGCCTGTCCCAAAAAAGACGTTCTGTGTGAGTCCACTTATACGAGGTACTTGCAGTCGTCAAAATCAGAGACAGAAAGTGGGGTGGTGATTCCCAGGGACTGCGGGAGGGAAAGTGATTCTACACCGCTGTTTAATAGGTACAGAGTTTCAGTTTCACAAGATGAAAAGAGTGGTGGAGACGGACGGTGGGGACAGTAGCACATCACGTATGCATTTAGTGCCACTGAACTGTATTCTTAAAAATGGTTAATACAGTAAGTTTTACGGTATGTGTATTTTACCACCACAACAACAAAAATGTTGTGGGACAAGAAAGAAGAATGGGGGGACAAGAAAGAAGAATCCAGAGGAGCAGCAAGACTATCCCTGGAGGGCAGGTGCTGTGGGCAGCGTCGGGCAGCCGGCCAGGAAGCACCCACACTTCAGGGGCAGATGGTGGAAGGTCACCCTGTGAGGGACCCTCAGCAGGTGCAGGGGAGCTGGGAGCCAGGGCTAGGACGAAACACACAAAAGCCGAGGCAGAGAGAGTTTGGGGGAAAGAACGTGGTCAATGGCACCAGATGCCGCAGGGACGAGAAGTAAGACAAGGACCAAAATAGATCCCGTGGTGCAGCAATGACGAGGTGGCCTTGGCCAGCGCAGGTTCAGAGGACAGAGGGGCAGGGTGGGCTGCAGAGGCCGAGGGCTGTGTGTGGGGAGAAGCAGAGACCTCCTGGGAGGGACAAGAGTAAAACGGCAGGGCATGGCCAGAGGGCTACCCAGATCAAGACAGACAGACAGACAGACAGAGAGACAGGAAGAGAGAGAGTTGTTTTGAGACAGATGGGACTCAAATAGGGGCTATATTTTTATGTTGTGCTCTTGTGGCCAAGACAGCCCCCTCCACACAGGGGAAACTCAATACCTGATGAACAGAAAATAAAGAAGATGTGTTTACGATTACGGTGCGGAGGGAATGGTGAGGGATGTTTCCCATGCGTGGGCTGGAGGGGTCTGATGCACACGGAGGGGCCTTCACGGCCTTCTCCACCACCTGCAGCCCCTCCTGTGACCACACAGGAGCACGTTCCCATGGCCTGATAATTCTCCTGGCTTACTTTTTAATGTGAATCTACTTAAAAAGATGTATTATCAAAATAAATGTTTGAAATATAAAGTGCTAAATCCTTGAGGTTATAACACACTGTGATGGAGAGGTGTTATCGATTAACTAGCATATAATATTTACTGAACTAGTGGAAATTGTTTGTGTTGTTGCGGTTTTCACTATTATCCTTCGATGCAGTAATCTTCATGGATGGACTTTAAAATGAGTATAATTATAAGCATAATTTCTAATTTTTTGATACCCCACTTGAAGTTTATACCTAGAGGTCCCTGGGGGTCCAAGAGAAAACTGATTTGGTTGCCATCTGGACTTGTCAGGGGTCTTGCCATCAGCTGTGCTGTTATCCAGGGGCTGTCCCACCCCAAAGATGCTGTGCAGAGCCCTTCTCAAGCAAGGGCTCCTGCGTCTTCTTGTACAGGTTCAGTATAGCACGCCTTCCCTGTGACCATCGGGACCATAGTGCATTCAGGCAGATAAGGACACTAGAACTGCAGACACCAAGAGTTGACAACGTATTTTAATTACCTGAGTGTCCGTCAGTTACATTCCTTGCTTAGATGTCACCTTCACAGAAGCTTTCTTGATAATATTTGCCTCACTAGCCCCCCCA